TGTGTGTGTGTGTGTGTGTGTGTGTGTGTGTGTGTGTGTGTGTGTGTTTGTGTGTTTGTGTGTGTCATGAGGATGCTATTATGCTCTGTAAAGTATGTGTGTGTGGGATGGATGTGTGGGTGTAGAAGAGTGTTTGTAGGGTGAGTAAATGGTAATGAAATCTAAACTTCCTTCATCCACTACAGAACGTTTAAAACTTTTGTAGGGAAAATTTGAAGAAAATCAGAAAACACCTTACTTTCTGAAAACATCAGAAAACACCTTACTTAGACACCCTCACATTGAAATATACATAAACGTAAAAACATTTTTTCATGCACCCAAATGTGCATGTCTGATGAGCAGACATTTTCCTCATCAAATACGACATAAACGAAACAGCTGGTGGATGAATGGATGTAATCAGGGGAAAGAAAGGTGCTCCACATGTTGGGACATGTCACAATTAGAGACATAGCAAGTGTGCCATCATGCATTCCTGAAGCTTTAGTCATCTGACTCTCACCTTTACCCCATATTCCCTTCATATGATACCATCAACCACATAAAAAAAACATCCTTTATGCGTGTCTTTATTTTGACAAATCTGAAATATGAGCCTCAGGTGGGCTTTGTTAAGTGCCACGCTCTTGGCAGTTTCAGTGTTTGGTCATTGTCTCTATTCTCATTCATAAGTTATGAGGAGACAGAAGGCCACTACTCATAGATGAGGATGAGTAATCTGCACTTTTTTCTTTTCTTTTTCCTCCCAAAAAAAGACTGCAGACTGTCTTTGCAATTAACTTTAGCGACTCTCTAAAAAATACTCTGCCATCCTTATTAGGAGAAGAATTATCTGTAATGTGAGACACTGGTGCATCGACAGAAGAAATCAACCCTTGCCGGGAACTCTGTCCTTAGGGACTGCAAGGTCAGCAGCTGTTGTGACAGATTAAGCTTACCGAATCTACAGCATGCAGTTTTTTAATCTTTGCTAGGAACTATATTGTGCTTGCACAGTGGTTGAAAAGGATGACGATATAAATGAGCAGCTTTGTGGCAATGCACTGACTCATCTCCACAGGCATGTATGGACATTGATGTGGTTTGTGAAGTGAGAGTGACTGCCAAAACCTCAACACAATTAAGCACAGCATGCACCCAGCTTCACCCAGCTTCACCCAGCTTCACCCAGCTTCACCCACATGTTATGATCTATTTCATAACCAGTCCTGTAACACCATGCAACCTTTAAATTCATATTTACAATGAAAGAGTATCAGAGTATGATTATTACGAGTATTTGTACTTTTGTGAATACATTTTATGGTCCATAATTTCAGATCAACATAAAGTAATAGTAAAGTTCACTGTTAATTTATAATTTTTATACAGAATACAAAGGTTTTCATAATTTTTAGATATGTAGATGTTCTGAACTGGATCTGAAAATTTAATGAAAACTGGAAGTTTAAAGTTAAGTTAACGTGAAATTGATAAAACATATTCATTAGTTTAGTCATAAAATATGAAGGTTGCATTGAAACCTTGTATGGTGTTTTAGAGTATATTCAAATTCAGTCATTTCACTTTGAAGTAGTATGGGCTACTGAACAAACTCACAAACATTTTGTAAATTCCCCATAAGCATTGGAAATGAGAAAAAACAGTACATCTATTTGCAATAATAAAGAAAAAACTAATATACATTGTTTTTGTAATTTCATAAAGCTCAATTACAGGGATAACAGTGATACACTTTCTAAACCCGTCGAGTGTAATCACTTTCCTCTTAGCTTGTTGAAATTGTAATGATCAAATAGTGTCCTTATTTCTAAAAAGTACAGGAAATATTCAAATAACAGTAAATAGGCTACAATTTAAATAACCGTCCTGTTTTTTTGTTTTATACTTCGGCCAATTAGATTTTTAATCGACGTGTTTTTTAGCGTAAATACAATATATTACATAAGTGACAACACTTCCACTGGAGTAGGAACTTGTAGTATTTTAGCCACTGCACCAGAAGTGGTTTGAGTGTGAGGAATCCCGAGCGCGACGCTCAGGAGGAAACTCTCACCATATATGGTCAATGACGTCACGGCACGTGGTTTGATTCGTGAGAGGTTCCAGACAACACTATTTCCCGTAACTGCAGAGGGGCGTGGTGAACCTATAGTGCCGCTTTAAGAGTTTACAACCTCACAATCATTCCCAGACTTTGGCTTTTAGACGTATGACTAACGATAGGATGGTCCACTGAAAGTTGTTTTTGGAAGTTTTAAGGCGATTTGAAAAAAAGCGAGGCGATATTTCCTTCCTTGTACCCCCTTGAAGACGCACCCGTTTGGACTCTACCGATTTACCGCAATAAGGTGGGCTTACCCTGAGTTTGAATTGACACACGAGATTCAACCCGAAAGTACCTTTCTGGGACGTAAAGGCTTTATAACCACACCTGGATCTAATTTTCGTTTCATTTAAACAGAAAGGATGTATCGAAACTTTGGGAGTCAAGGGAGAGGCAACCCGACGTACACAGGCAGCGTCTCTGGGTCAAACTCTCAGGGAACCTCCAACACTACAATTACACAGCAGGAGCAGGTAGGTGTACCTTCATTTAACTAGGCGACAACTTGCCTCAGAGATTTAGACAGAATGTAAACTAAACTGTAAGAGTAAAAAACAAAGTTTTAAAAAGTTGAGGATTTCAAGCTTCAATAAAGTAGTACTGTTAATGTTACATCATATGTAATTTGTGTGTAGTTATACAATTTATCATCCTGTTTATGTATGTAACCATGATAAGCTTCATCATCAGTTATGTTTTACATTAATTATTGACCATTTAGACTTCAGAAACCAAGTGTTTTGTTATTGATCACATGTTATTTTCTGTTACTTTATGTAATAAATGTTTTCAATCCATTTTTCTAGAAGTTTACAATGGCTGGCAGCAGTCAGTTTGTACCAAGCCTAAATGCCATCACAACCAACCAGGACCTCCAGTGGTTGGTCCAGCCCTCCCTCATGCATCCACCGGGCCCTTCCCGATCTCCAGTACCTCCCTACCCAACCCTCTCAGGGGCACGGCCTCTGGGTCCACCACCTTCCCATTCCCATCTATTCAGACCAGGGGTCATAAGAGCAGCCGCAAACACTACTGCATCGACAAGGCGCAGGACCGATGAATATGTAAGAAATGAAATAACAGAGTCTGAAACTTTACAAACATATATATTTAGACACTGATAATTGTGGGGAAGCTATCTTGGGTGGCATATTTTCCCTGTAGGGGATGCAGATAGTGAGGTGTGGACAGAAGTTCAATCATTTCATAATTAGTGTGTAATATCCTGTAATACTCTCTGTGTCATTTACTTTAGACTTACATAGCAGGTGAATCAGTTAAGAAATAGGGGAAGGACAATATAGGATAATGTAGATATTTTATTCAATACACTATCTAAATAAGTTTTAAAAAGGGAACATTTTCTCTCCAGAGTCCAACACGCACTGTTTATGTTCTTTGATGGTGTTTGCTTTGAGCCTCAGTGAAATCATCACCTGCGACACACTGTTTGTAAAGATCTACTTTTTGTTAGCAGAGCAATGTTACGTCTCATAACACAATATCGTAGATGTTAAAGTGACCCAGTTCAACGCCACTTTGACCTTAAAGACCATCAGCGCTTTTGTCACCACCACAATTTTTTGGTTTCATCAGACACACGTTGGGACACAACCCGTTGTAATTTCATTGTACAGGAAGTGGACTGTCATGTGACTCACAGGGGCAAGTCATGTTCTGTGACTCACACCTGAGTCACCCCCGGGGTCTGAGTGTGACTCATCACCCCGAATGGGCGGGAAATATTTGATCAACAGCAATTATTCAGCAGGGCGCTGGATGAAGTCAGAGTTAGGGTGTTACAAAGGCACAGAAGCTCAAGCATTTCAAGATCATTCAGCCGCCATGACTGTGATGACTCAGTGCACACACATGGTGGTAGTATTTCACATGTGTCATGTAGTCTATGATGGCGTCCCAAATTTTCTCCCTGTACATTTGATATTCTAAGTTTTTTACCCAAAGCAAGGTTTCAGAATCCAACTTTAGACTGTCAATGGGGTTTGGAGTTTGACTCACTGCGTCAGGTTAACTTATTTTATATATTTTAATCTTGAATCTTCCCTTTCTAATCAAAGTTATCCCAGGAAGAGATGCAGAGACGTAGAATACGAAGGGAGAGGAATAAGCTGGCAGCAGCAAAATGTCGCAATCGCCGTCGGGAGCTGACAGACACACTGCAAACTGTGAGTAAACGCTGTACAAATGTCCAAACATTAATGATTGAAATACAAGGCATTGATCTCAATGAGACATGAGGGAGTTTACACATATGTCTGTCTCTCTCTGCTTTCCCCTGGTGTAGGAGACTGACCAGCTGGAGGATGATAAGTCCAAGTTACAGAAGGAAATAGCTGATTTACAAAAGGAGAAAGACAAGCTTGAGCTGGTCCTGGAGGCTCACCGTCCCATTTGTAAAATTGAGGACTCAGATTCCGATTCTGACCCAAATCCACCAACTTCCTCTTTGGGAGGCATCAAACTAGAGCCACAGGAGTTCAGCAGACCCAGACCCGGACCCTCGACCAAACTGCCACCAAAGACAGAGAAGCCTAAACCAAAGATAACCATCCCCACCAAGCATGTGACATCGGCTGCCTCTGCCACTGAATCAGAGTCTCTCCACACCCCGGTTCTCACATCTACTCCCTCTCTCCTAACCTTCACAGCTGGTATGGTCTTCACCTATCCCTCTGCCTCTTTAGACACCAGCGCCTCCATCACATCCCATGCTTCATCACACCACGGAAACAGCCAACAGTCTCAAGCCCCACAGCCCTGTGGGATAGCTCATCGCCGCAGCAGCAGCAGTGGAGACCAATCGGATCACTCGCTGCACTCCCCGACCATCCTCACTCTGTGAATGACTGCCGTGTCGTCCTGGCAAAACACTAATGTTGATTTCATCATGAGTGACAAAAAGGATCTCTGGGAAACATGAGGGAAACGAAAAATGATGATTGTGATAACCATTTCAAAATGAGCTGTGTGCATCTGGGTCATTTCTTCTCTTTAGAAAGATGATTCTTTACTTAGATAATGTGCAAATTAGGATAAGAATGTTACATACTTTTAAGTGTTGATAAAAATATAAAGTCTTTATATTTCTTATTTTAAAAGCTATAACATAGAATGAGTTTGTTTGAGGTTCAAAACAAAGCATTGCATGCAGAATTATATAATAATACAACTGTGATAACTCCATCTAATAATATATTAACAGCGATAATTCAGTATAATAATGCATTTAATAACTTTTTACATTGTTACGTCATGTTATGTAACTTTTTATGAACTTCCTCACCAAGGGAAATAGAGTACTTATTAGTAAATGGTCCTTATTTTTGTATGAATCTTTTATCAATCCTAATATTGTCTATGCAAATATTTGACCACTAAGGCTGGGCCATAGGAGTTAACATAGATTATATTACCACATATTTATTCTTGAGAGTGTAATATATTTTTGGTAACGTTTTTATTGTCTCTGACAGATGAACTGTTTTGGTGGGCAGTGCCTTACTTTAATCTATTGTTAAAGCTGTACTACTTCACATTTAATAAAGAGCAAAGGTTCATAACTGTGTGAAATTTGTGATGGTGTAATATCATTATTGTAAAAAAAAAAAAAAAGGATATATGATTAGACTTAACTGCATCTTAAAATCAACACATTCATCAGTTTCAATCGAGAATAAATAATTTTGTAAATTGAACACAGACACCAGAATAACTGGGACATAAATACTGTAGGAGGGACAGGAGTATTTGATTAGTCAGCTGGTAGAAGATTAATCTGCAGCTATTTTGTGATTAATCCTGAATATTCTCAGGTTGCAGTTTATCCAATGTGAGGATGTGCTGCAGTGTTTTATACCATTGTAAACTGAATATCTGTGTGTTGGTCGAAAAAAAAAAGACATAACCTTTGACCCAATTATAATGGCCATATTACTTTCTCCTTTCTTACATTTCATAAGAAACGACGAATTGAGAAAATTATATAAAATGAAAATAATTACAACCCTTTTCTGTGACACGTGTTAGAAGTTATTATACTGACTGACGTTAATAAAGGCTCTATGCCCCTCAACCATGAACACTGTTCTCTGTTTCTCCATTTCCAAAAAATGAAGCGAATCTCCTGCATACATACATGGCTCAGAGGGAATTGGGTTGCTCTGCTAAAATGGGGTTAGAGAGAAAAATGGAGATGGGACGAGAGTCGGATTGAGAGCTATAGAGCATAATGGGAAAAAAACTCAGTGTGTTTGGTGCTGTCACAGGACGTCTGTGCATCGCTAAGTGGTTAAAAGCATTGCTGCCCTCTTCAGCTCTCCGGACTGGGATCCAAAAATAAAACTGATGAACATCCATAAAGTCAGTCTGTGTGACATGACGGGAGCATCAATCAAGTGCAGTTGGTTCAGACACGAAAGGTCAAAACAACAAGTGCAGAAATCAATCCTTCATTGTGTGACATGTAAATGTGTAAATGCTTGTTTCTGCAAAGTCAAACACACAAAGAAAGGTCAGAACAGCACAAAGTGTCATACCCACTGTATTTAAAGCTCTTCAATGCACTACGAGCATAGCCCACGAATAAACAGCTAACGACAAAATAAATCTTTTCTAATCCATGTGCATTATCTATGATTTAAACTGAAATCGGTTAGTAGCCTAATGCTAGTTAATACAGATAAATCAAGATAAAGAAGGGTCAAAGTTAATGTTACAGGGTAAATACAAAGCATGAGTTACAGAAGACAAAGCTGACCGTCGTCAACTTAAACAAACTCTGTGATATGCTAATTGAACATCAACAACAATGTAAGAAAAATGTAATACAAGTGAATTTAAACAGCTTGGTTTGAATAGAATATAAATCATTAAAACTTGTAGACCTTCCAGTTTGATACAAAGAGTTTCCAGTTGGATTTTTAAAAAAAGTGACAGAACTTGTTCAGTTCAGCTCTGAGTGAGGTCCAAGGACATCTATGTCTGATCCCAAACTCTGTACTCTGGCTCTAGCACATGTACATTATGCACAGCAGCCCCACTCACAGTAAACCTGAAGGGCCCTCACATCAGACTGGTTAACAGGCCTGCACAAATTGTGACAATCATCATGCACATATGGCACTCCAATCCTGTCCTGAGGAAGAGAGTGCATAAAATAGTACACATTATTGGGCATCTAGCAAAAGCAAATATCAAATAGTTTCATTTTTTTTTCTTTTATCACAACTCCTCTATTTCAGTGCTATTGGAATTCAGTGGACTAAATATGGCTCAAAACTGGATTGAAATGAATCTTTAGATCTGTGATTTAAAGATCCATAATAACGCTGTCCAGTGCAATAGAAAAAAGGCTTCTACCAGTGTAGGCTAGTCCAGTGCATGAGATAAATTGATATATGTGACCCAGTCTTTTGGTCCCATTTCTTTTTTTTCAACAACAGACCACTGAAAAAGGAGAATCTCCCCAAAACAGAGGAGTCATTAAAAAACAAATACTGTAAAATTTTGATACATTATCATCTGGCAAACATCGATTAAATGTCTTTGTAAAGTCCTGAAAATGTCTATAGTGGTAGATTCTTTGTCAAGTCAAAACCTAGTGGCACACAAATCTTTGCAGCATTCAGAAGGCCCTGATGCTTTTGCACCAAATTGATTTGTATTGTCTGACAAAGCTTCTGTGTCTCCATTCTGTCAATCACACCACCCCTAGCCTACATATTCCTTATTTGAGACGGAGAAGCCCTGACTGCTGACGTCAGCCTGCCATCAGTCATCAGGTGAGCACACCAGGTGGAGCTGGTCTGGGCTTCCCACGCTGCCTGTGCTTGAGCTTCCGTCCCCAAGGTCCCGGGCCACCATGCAGGGCAGGTTGAGCTCGGTGGACCCTCCGGGACTGGAGTCACTCCTGCTGACACACTCCTCCTCCAGGACCAGACACAGCTCCTTCAGGTCCAAATTCTCCTTCACCAGCCCGTCCTGCATGCGCTCCAGGTCGGCGAGCTTTTTCAAGTAACCGCCCAGGTCCTCCCTCATCACTTTGGCCGCGTGATGCCCGAACAGCTGCCATTCCCTGGCCAGCTTCTTCACTTTGAGCCGGTCGTCGTCCAGAAAGCAGCACAGGTCCCGCAGCTCCACGTTTTCCTCCTGCAGGCGCTGATTGATGACTTTCAGTTCCCTGATTTCAAGGAGGTGTCCCTGCAGTTGTTTATTTACCTCTTTTATCAGCCGTCCTCGCTGGATGAGAGCTGATATTTTCTCCGACTCCTCTTTACGCAGCCGGATCACCAGCTCCTCTTTGGAGCACGCCAGCAAATCCTCGTCGGACATCTTTGACAGCTCTCTATTTATTATCTCACCTTCGCTACCCATTTCTATTAAAAACCTACACCTAGAGGGTACCTGAGAATGTATTAAAAGCGCTGAGGTGTAGCTGTGTGCTTCACTGCTTAACACAGAGCCATCACATCCTCTTCCTCTGCATACAGTGTTTTCCAGATGTCAGCCTTTGCAATCACTACAGCACCGGAGGCCAAATCATGGCACAAAAATGTGATTTCGTTTTTTAGACGGCTTTCTTCAAGGCGCTGTGATTTAAGCCCTAATTTGTGCTGAACCCAGTTCTCCGCGGATGATGTCTTAATGAGGTCGTGTTGCGCCGCGAACCCCCATTAATGTCAATCTGTCATCTTCTCAACAGCAGACTGTGTTCACCAAAGGCCTCCAGGAATACAACTGTCCTTATTATACCTCCTCTCGCAGTATTTGAAGGCAACGGCCGCCCCGTGGGCTCTTCGGTGGCCTATATGTACAAATGACCGGTCGATCCACGGAGGCTTAATCCAGCAGCCTCGGATGCACACCCTGCAGATGTTGTGTGTGTTTTTTTTTGTTTTTTTTTACGTCGCTGGCATCGTCTCACCAGGCTGTGCTCCGCTCGCCTCGGCTGAATGAACTCGTTCCACGGTGCTGGAGGATGAGTCCGTACGGTGCAGCAGCTTCTTTCCTTTTTCGTTACAAACGACTAATCTTGAGATAAAAACAAATAAACAAAACAAATGAAAATCCAATCTCTCCCGTTATCCGCTCAGAATAAGTGCATCATCGCTGTTCGTCCTCTGGGGCTGGACTGTTACCACAACAATGTCCGCCTCCGCCACTTTCACGGCTGTGACACCACCGAGCAGCGAGCTGCGTGTCAAGCTGCAGCATCACCGGAAGACAGTCTTTGTAGCCTTCAGAATAAAAGCATTGACTTGTTACATTTTAATGAAAATAGTGAGAACACATTGCATTTTACTACAATGTAGATTTCGTAGTTGTCAGTCTTTACTTATATTAGAGGGTGTCTTTTTCGGGTTTCAATGCAATCATGTTCCTCAACCACAATCATTTTATTTTTAATGTTTTTACCGGAAGTTTTACTTTTTACGATGACTGCTGTCTTGACACGTGGGTTAGACAGTAATCGGACATGTTAGTGGTTTCCTCTGAGGTTTACAGTGGCTCTTCGCATACCATAGGCATATGGCATTGTAGTAAATGGCCACATAGAACCGAACAGCTCAGGGATCCAGCTGATCTTCTCAGCTATGAAAATCATCCAGATGTGAGGGTGAAGATCTGCTCCATGTGGTCTCTCAGAGAGGAACTTGTGCGCCCCCATTTGGATTTTACTTTTACCTTTATCATGCCATAAATCCAAAACAACACGGATATGCACACTTCTTAAAGGAAATTAGTAGAAACCCCATGTGACTCTTGGATTATCTGATCAGCTTGGTCTCATCCTCCTCAAAAAAATAAAGACATGGGCTATGACCAGATCTTAGCTCTGCCCAAACCTTTGCCAAACATAAGAGGTTCATTAACAGACCCTCCTTTAAAGTTCACTACAGAGAAAGATGTACAGTATAACAGTTGCATCATGAGTGACTCCTGGTTGTAGCCTACTCGTTTCTTTTCAAAGAACATTGGCGGAAAGTGTGACTGCAGGCTTTTTTCCATGGGTTTATGCTGAGGCATTCAGCCACATCCTTCCGCCCTCTGTCCCACCTCCATTGTTTAGCTGAGGCCATAACAATGTAGGGTGTTAACCGTGCAAGAGGGAGCTGGGGATGGAATCAGGGTGTCATGTGGGGTTAGAAGTGAGAGTGTTGATGTGCAGGGGGAGATCTGACAAAAAGACATGTTGACTGAGTCGTTTTTCCCTTATGTTGTGATTTTTAAGGACACATGCAGAAACATCAAAAGGGAGGGCATGGAGAGGGATTTGCAGGGATTTATTTAGATTAATCGCCGGAGGAAAAGAGAGCAGATTGTGAACACGCAGCTAGCAAGGCACACATCGTCCTTGTGCTCACACAGATCTCGGATCGTACATTTTAAAATAACTTAAGAGCACAAATGGAAGGGCAGAAATAGGCTGACAGATGTGTTGTATAATTTGAGTCTTTACACAATCGTCCATTGTAGTTCGATTTTCTTCTGGCCATTGATGGCTTTCTTACTTAACATGAATTAAAAGGGATTAAACATGGGCCAACTTTGCGGCTCATAGGCAGTAGGCGGGTCGTTGTGGGTGCTGGGTAGGCCCCATGTCGCCTCAGCTTTAGGTTTGGGTTCAGAAGTGGGACGACGCAAAGAACACAGGGGGCAACCTTATGAAACAAAACAACCCGAGGTCAGCCTATAGCATCATGATTAAACATGGTCATCATGCTCTATCTATACTATAGGCTATAAATTGTTATGACAAATCCCTCAAATATAGCACATTCAAATCAATTTAATTAGAAACCTACAAAACGCTGTCCATTTCTGCTTTTATCTCTGATTAATGTTTAATTATTAACTTGTCTACACCACAATTTTGTCTGCAGCCATATTCACTGGTCAGAAAAAAAGTGTGTCTTTGTATTTTAACCCTGAGGACAAAGACAAAAATAGATGACCTATTATTCTTATTACGCATAATTTAGGAGCGTTATTAGTATCGGGGTTGTGCCACATTTTAACCACGAAGGATGAGAGACGTCTGCTCTGACAGGGGAAGTACCATAGACTGACAATAAGCTGATGCAACAGCAAAAATAACTATAATAGTTTCAGAATAAAAGCATACTTTCTACAACTGGGTTAAATGACAAAAAACACACAGTCCTACAAAATCGTTATGCATTATGAGCAGCCCGCTATGTAGTAACACTGCCTTTATTTATTTGTGCTCGGGTGTGGATTTTTGTTTACTGCACTGCGTCATTTTATTACTGGTAGGATATACAGTAAAATGTAATCTGCTGTATGCGAGAACACGTAAACAATATATTATAATTAAACATAGAACCTATATGTTGTCACGCGACACTAACATTACAACAGAAAACATGAAACAACAAAAGGTCAGTCAGTTTGTTTTGAGAAGATGTCTAAAGAGACACTTACAGTAATATGTGTAAAGAACCTTTCCTCTGACGTCACGACACCGGAAGTCCGTTTAGCGTGCCTGCTGTTGTTGATAGCGAGCACCCGTAGCGATACAGTACGCTGCCATTTCGTAGATGATCGTGTTTTAAACCACGCGCGATCACGTTAATTTGATCTTAATTCACCGTGTTGTTGTCTGGTTGTCAGTGTAGTCTCCGCTGAAGCTGCTAACATAGCTAGGACAAGAAGCTAGCCTTTAATGGAGGAAGTTAGCTAGGCGGCTATAATGGCCATAGCCATTATAATCTAACCGTTTACTTTGCATTTCAGTTTTTATTTCAGTTTGGTACTTGAAACGCTCATAACAAGGTATGATGTGTGTTTTGGTCCTTACAATGTCTTTGAGCTCATCTGAAAGCTGGTTGATGATGGCTAACGTTACTTAAGCTAAACAGAAACATCTCCTGACCCACTTGCTTTTACTTTTCTGCCACCACGCAGATGACGATGGAGCTGGACGTGTTCGTGGGTAACACCACTATCATGGATGAGGAGGTGTACCAGCTCTGGTTGGATGGATACACAGGTATGAGTCACATTTATGGGTCACAATGTACTGCAGCAGACTGTGGACTTACTGCGGAGTAGAGGAGCTTATACAGAGTCCTGGTTTGTTGGAGTTATCTTACAAAGATGCACACAATGTGGGTTTTATTGTATTATCATTGAACATATAATTCAAATGCACCCAATCTGGTGGTCAGGACCAACCAATCTGAGGGGTCAGAAATTGAATAAAAACACTGGAAAGAAAGAAAAATTTTACTGTATGCTTTTTATTGTTAAATTCAGGAGACTGACTTTTCAGGCCTCTGAAAACTATTCAAATGAAACAGTTACTCTTTATAAGTAACGCATGATACTTAAGTCAAGGGGTTGTGATATACATTTTGTTTCTTTAAAGGGTTACAAGCTAAATGTTCCGCTAATGTGCAAAACATAATGAAAACCTACATATTGTGACATTTATATATCCACACCCACACCCTGCACATTGGAAGTAGCCCAGGTAAAGTATAATGACAGTGCTGCTGACCAGCAGCTTTGTTAGTACAGGTTATTACACATCACTACAGCCATGGTTGGATCACCAAGCATGTCTGATTTATCCAACAGTGAACGATGCAGTGAAGGGACGAATGGATGGAGGAGTGATGGAGGAGTGCGAGGCGAGTGCAGATGTTCTACTGAGTGACACCATGGACCAGTACAGGACTTTCCAGATGTGTGAGCGTCTGCTGCACAGTCCATCCAAACTAGGCAACCAGCTACTGTTCCAGATCCCACCTCATCGACAAGCCATGCTCATAGAGAGGTGCAGTGACGATGCCCCGATTTGATCACCATTAATTATCTGATTTATCTGGTTTGCAGTAACGTCATTATTTAATCTTTTAAATGTGCCCCTTCCTTGAACTAGATTATTCCCCTCTCAAGGCAGATGTTACCACAACATGTATTTATTATTAAACGCCACTACTTTATTCTTGTTTCCTGACGTAGTAAATGAGAATATATTCTTACAACTCACCTTTTTCACCTTTTGTATATACATGTTTAGATATTACACCTTCGATGATGCATTTGTCCGTGAGGTCCTGGGAAAGAAACTCTCCAAGGGAACAAAGAAAGACTTGGACGATATCGGAGCCAAGACAGGTGTGACACTGAAGAGCTGCAGACGACAGGTAAGAGCAACACCACAATGACCGCGTGTCTGTGTTGTCGGTTTAGTTATCAGAGGAGTCTTCAGCAGTTTTAAAAGACATTGCTCATTTTTGTTGTGAAACCACCTTGAATTCTTTCTGGTCGTAATCTGACTTTCAGTTTTTCGTTCTTTAAAATTCGTTTTGAGTTTCAGTTACAGTGACTTTTACTGTCTGATTTTATACATGTTGTCATGTTGTTGTAAATTTAGTAAATCTCATGCATCATATGTTTAATTTCAGTTCGACAACTTCAAACGTGTTTTTAAAGTTGTGGAAGAGCTGAAGGGACCCCTGGTGGAGAACATACGTCACCACTTTCTTCTTTCTGACAAGCTTGCGAGGTAATCCGTGTGAAGAGCGTACAAAACCTCCCTGCCTGCCTCTGTGTTGTTGTAGTTGTTATGAGGAATTACTTCATGGGTTTACATGTTTAGCTAACTCTAACAAAACCTCACCTGAGAAGGCTAGCATTCAGGGTTATTCAAACTAGTGAAAACATCAAAGTTCTTTCTGTCTATTTGTTAGCTTCTATAATGCCTCTTTCGCTTATTTCAGGGATTATGCTGCCATTGTTTTCTTTGCCAACAATCGCTTTGAGACGGGGAAAAGAAAGCTGCAATATCTCACATTCCAGGACTTTGCCTTCTGTGCTGGGCAACTTATCAGCAACTGGACCGTTGGGGCTGTTGGTGAGCCATTCGTCTTGTTTCCTTCAGCCGTTTGCTGCCATTTTTATCTGAGATATGAAGGACATGTATGACATTTTAATCAGTTATGTAACATATACAGTATATTAATCATCTGTAACCGTCTAAATGTGTCTTAGTTTGAGGCTTACAGATTGATAAAACATTAGAGATAAATCCAAGAACACTAAAAATAGAAAAAAAAGTGAAACTGTGAGACAAACTATGAAGAGGACTTTAAAGAAATATCTCACGTAAGAACAAGAGGTATGCTGTCGATGGTGGCTATTAAGAATAAGGAACATTTAGAGCAGTGCCTCCATCAGTGAGGCCAGCTGACCACCAGAGGTCCTTCAGGTTTTGCATAGCCTCAATACAATGAAGACTAATTTAAATTGTGTGAAGTGAACAATGTTAATTGGCTAAGAATAAATAATAATAAATAAGAAGAAAAAAGAATAAGCAGCGATGATAGTTAAAAGAAGAAAAAAACCCTCTTTTGAACAGATATGACAGTGTGTGACTTTGTAGATAACATGGTGGAAGACATGGACGTGGATCTCGATAAAGAGTTTTTACAAGAGCTGAAAGAACTGAAGGTGTTAATCACTGACAAAGATCTGCTGGATCAACACAAAAGGTAACATGAAAATGAAGAGAAACCTACACGTTTTTTGCCATTTCTGATTTTTTTTTTAAAATTGGCTTTTAATTACAATTTTATACACACTTGTATTGGTAATTTCTCTTCCTTCCACTCCTCTCTGTTCAGTCTGGTCTGTACAGCTCTTAGAGGAAAGACTAAAGCTTTTAATGAGATGGAGGCTAATTTTAAGGTGAGAGAAATAACAACCTCAGAATATCGGAAATTAAACCAGTCAGTAACTTCTTCAATGAAAGGAAATAATAGTTTTGTTAATGTAATTATTTCATTCTTTTCGTAGAATCTATCCAGAGGCCTGGTCAACATTGCCGCAAAGTTAACCAACACAAAGGATGTCCGAGATTTTTTCATTGATCTTGTGGAGAAGGTGTGTAACCTCTACAAAATGTAGTTTCTATCTTTACGTGGTTCAAGCAAAGACAGATCATTCAACTTGTATTTCTGAATCCAGTCTTGAAGTCTGCCTTGGAGACGGTGTGATGTAACGTCTCTTCCCCTTCTTTTTCTCCCCCAGTTTATTGAGCCGTGTCGTTCAGACCGATGGACAGCTGCGGACATTAGACTCTACCTTACTCACTACAACAACTCGGCACACATACTTGACACATTCAAGTGAGTCAATGTGCTTTTATTCTGTAAAGCTTTATCAGGTAGAGCTCAACTCCAACCCTGCCAGGACTATTTATTCCTAAAGGGGCGAAAAATACAGTCAGGATGTTGTAGAGCTCCTTGAAAGAAAAAAAAAAAAAGCAATAACCAAATATTATATATACTTTGGCAATCATTAATGCTGCTGAAGCATAAAGTTGTGTCTTTAATATTGACGTCTCGGCTCCACCAGTGGGTGTCACCCTATCTCGCCCCTGATTTCTCAAACTGTAGTTACCTTGTTTCTCATGCAAACACTCTGGAATGTAGTTAAGGGTTTACACAGCCCTGCACCACTACATGTTTAACAAAGAGATATTCATAAAAAGAAACAGACAACCCACCCCCCACATGTTACACCGAGTGGACAAAGATTGCCTCATTTACTTTCTTCACACTGATTTCACAATTACAGTTTGTCATGAGTCTTACTCTCTTTGCTGCATTTACTTACTGTGTGCTGTCTCTCTGTCTCTCTGTTTTCTGCCCCTCAGACATCAGGTTGTGTGGGACAGATACATGGGTGTCGTCAAAAGCTGTATCTTCAAAATGTATCACGACTGAAGCGGTTTCTTCGCAGCTCGACCCTCATTTTTCCCCACTTTTCCCTCGTTTTTTTTCTGGCTATATCCCCCCCAAAGCCGTTATCTTAACCCTCGGTTTGTGGTTTTATCTGTTTCGTTTTGTCAGCGGTGATGAATTCTGCTTCTTAAGCCCCATTATTGCTTTCAGTCTCCCTGTTTGCACCTATAGAGTCCCTGCAGTGTCTGTACATTTGGTTTGTAAATAAAATGAACGTATTTACATCAAAATGTCCCTGCTTTATGTTATTGTTTTATCTGCGGTATTATATGGAGGAGTTGTTATCATTAACCCATTCCAGGGACAAGGTTTACTGAGTGCTGGATGGACATCAAAGACAAAGAGATAAAGATATAAATCATAGCACAAAAGGGAAGAGGCCAGATTGAGAAAGCCCTGCGTCATCAATCTAAGCTGTATTAGTGTTTTAGATTTTAATGTGGCCAGCAGACTGCATGTGTCATGGACTGAGACCTCTTCCAGTGTCTGTGTGTGGTCATGGGAATGAGGGACCAGCCAGGGGGGCACAGTTGGTCCATCTAGGGGGTTTGTTCGTGTGACTTTTAACAACATCTCCCGTAAGGACAGCTGCCATCTCTGCCACCACCCAGAAACACAGGACAGATAAACAATCTGAGGTGAAGTAAAGGTTATTTTAGAACCAAAGGTTTACTTTAAAAAAAAAAAAAAAAAAAAAACAGGAGGAAAAATAAAATGATTGCCCCCACAATGTTACAAAACAGCACGATTATGCACTCTAAAAATATAAAGATTAGTATGTCTATCAAAGAATATTCAGTATAAACTTTAATGCATGCAGTCATTTTGTAATGGGTTTGACTTTAGGTTGAGTCAGACTCATAAAATCTGGGTGAAGCAACATCTTAACCAGTTTGCAAAGCACACCGATTATTTTGCAAGACAAATTCAGCTGAAATTATTCCAAGTGCAGTAATGGATTAGTCATGTACAAGCAGAGCAGCAAAGCTGGTCAAGAATAATGATAGTATTTTATTTTCTCTATTTCATCCCATGAAGCCTCCTCCAGTTTATTCTGAGAAATAAGCGGACAAATTTTCCGAATAAGTCTCCACTTTCTTTCTCTTCCACTCTCTAATTTTTGTCCACATTCCATTAACTTCTCTCTCCCCGGCTATAAATATCCTGCATGTCAGATTGGATGAGAGCGAGGGCTTTAGTCGCTTTATGGAAAGAAGAAAAAAAGAGAGTACAAGACGGGGGAGGTAAGTATAGATAGATGGGGGGTAAATGGGAAAAGGGAGGGAGGAAAGGGTGGGAGAGTTTGGAGCTTTTGCGGGGGTTTAGTTTAAATGAAACCAGGTGTGTTGTGGGACCATAAGAGGGGGCACTGGGTAAGAAGATGGGGGGGCAAGTGTGTGAATCTGTGAGTTGTTGTTCGGCCTGCGATTTGGACAGATTTGGAATTTTGGTATTTGGGCCGCAGACCAGGAATTTGCATCCTGGGGGGTCAGGGAGAGGGGGTTTGGAGAGTGGAGGATGGCAGTGCAGGGGGCCAGAGGCGGGGAGGAGGTGGGGGGGGGTAAGAATGGGCTGTCCCTCTCTCCTCCCTCTCTCTCTCCTCTCCGTCTCTTGCTCTCTCTCTCTCTCTCCCTCCCTTTGCATGTGTTCAGCTGCTCCAGCTGTCGGTCTCCCCACTCACTCTCTCAGGGTCAGACAGGCAGGAGTTTAAGGGACCACTTCTGTGCGCCAACTCAGCCGGGACGACCGCAGCCAGCAGAAGGACACACCGGTCAGAAGGAGAAGACTCATCCGAAAAAGATTCATTTGTGAGTTTCCGTGTGTTTCTTTAATGTCTGACAACCATGTTAGAAGAGATTTGTATGAAAAGGAGAACCTTTGGATGACTGATCATGTTTTTTAAGGTACCTTCTTTTCTGGTACAGGCCATACACGTCACAGTACCACCACTGCTCTGCTCTCGGCTCTGCTCTCACAGCTTCATATTGCTGCTTACAAAAGCAGCAATATGAAGCCAAGAAGCAAGTTTACTTCTTGGCACTGTGTTTCAGAGACTGTAATAGGGGGATAGACAGGAAGAGAGGTAATGAGTCACAGGGCATGTATTATCGCGCAGTATGTTCTTCCACCTCATCTCTCTTGTACAACATTTGAAGTCAGTGTCACAATTTCAGTTTAGTCACTCCGGTTAAAATTTACGGGACAAAGCAGCAGAGACTTTTGAACAAAAAGAAGAAACAGGTGGCAGCTACAGGAACATACACACACACAAAACACTCTGGATAACATCACAGACAGTGTAGGATGCTGCCTCACTATGATTTGACAGTGCATTTTATCACTGTTTATTCCATATACTCCTAATAGCTAACATGTGACAGCTCCAGCGTCACTGTAATGACTCAGTGGGATTATAAAGGCAACAGGAAGCAGGCACAGTTCCCCTGAGAGCAGCCCATCATCTCGTGCCACATTGTATGCGTAGACTAATACATCACAGCTCTTTAACCCCCCTTTACACAGGGAAACAGAGCAGTATCGCCACTGGGAGAACAGAACCACACCAGACGGATTTATCTCATTTACAGTGTGTGAATTTCTCCTGCAGGCCACAATACATCACTGCTGACTGTGGAGTTCTCCAGCAAAGGAGTTAGGCTATATGTGTGTGTCTGTGTGTGTGTGTGTGTGTGTGTGTGTGTGTGTGTGTGTGTGTGTGTGTGAGTGAGAGTGATAGTGACCCCCTGGTTGTGGATTTACAGGTTCACTGCCACAGTGGTAACGGATCGCAGTTTTAGCCCGCTGGGCCACCGTGTTCTCAGGCTGCTCCATGCACAACCAAGTAGAACAACACAAAGTTAGCTATGTATACATTACAACACATGACCATCCTGCAGTTTACACTCTGTGTGCATGTGTGTATGTGTGTGTGTGCGTGTGTGTGTGTGTGTGTGTGTGTGTGGTCCAACTGTGTGTTTTTCTTGGTCCCCAGATGGTCACTTTTATAAGCCGCCTGAAATCTTGCATGTTAAATTGTGCTGACTGTGTGAATTTAGAAATGGGTCAGTCTGCTGTTACTGAGGCAAGGGTAAGCCCGAAATGGTAACTATATTAGAAGTACTGTTGAAGCTGTACTGAACAGGTGTTAGAGCAGTAATATTTTGAGGATTACACTAAAACTGCCGATTAATCTGCTGATTATTTTCTCTAGTAAATGTTCCGTCAAGTAAATGTCAAAATTAAAACAAATGCCCATCACAAGTTCCCAGAGTCCAAGGCGATGTCTTGTTTTGTCTGACCAGCAGTCCGAACCAACAGAAACGATAAATATATTTTTCGTAACAATGTGGTTTCACAGTCAACCTGTTTCTCTGATGAATTTCGGCTCTTGGCTCACATTGTCTGACATCCACCTACACAATGAGGAGAGATGAGAGGTTAGGGGAGCAGTGGCTAGAGGTTTGGCACCAGCTATCCTCTTATGTGAACCATGGGGGGTTTCCCAGAACCTGATACTCTGGGAACCACTGCCGTGGCAGGGCATCCCAGCTGAGAACTGGCGCCCACATCCTTGCCACGGGCATTCCAGAGGTCCACCGCCACTTGGTCTCCAGCGACATCAGGGATACACCCATGCATCCCTGCTGCACACTCTCAGTAGCCAGTGAGTGTCTGGACCCCGGACTGATGGTCAGTTCTGTTTTTGGGCGGTTTGGGGTCACATTCTTGCTGGTTGTAAGTGTCCGATGGGCCAACTCAGAGAGGTCACGTACTGCGGCCGTCTGATTGCACAGTGGTATGTGTTACCGTCTGTGCTTACAGGGTGAGGGCATGTTTTGTTGGTTTTAACCCCGCAGAGGTTCATGAATGGCCTGTGATGTCATCCATCAAGTATTTAAGTGTGTCCACGTCACCCTGCGGCCTTCTGTTTGTCTCAACTTGAAGTACAACAATGAGCCATGCCTGCAGATGTGGCGTCCTGACATTTCAGAGCATGTGCCTGTGCACGTAGACAGGCAGTGATTATAACTTTCCTGTCATGTATTTTAACTGGAGCTCACTGACTCTGCAAACAGCACTCTCTCAGAATCTTTTTCATTCCTTCAATTAGCCTGTTTTTCCCCTACTTTTTTTGGTCTGCGGGAGCTGGAATAGGTGATTTGTTTATGTTTAGAGTCAGCTTAACCACTTACAGCGTCTCTCCAGGAACATTAACTGAAGTGTTGTGTCTCTGCTGGGAGAAAAGCCAAGTCCATCAGAATACTTAGCAAACATAATACACTATAAATCTGCCTCAAAATACACTGGACATAACGTTAGTACTTAGATCCATTACTTACATAAAAGAAGCAATATCGCAGTGTAAAAATACTAGAATGCAAGTGAGCCCTACATTTAAAATTCACAAGTACATAAGTACATAAGTATTAGGCTACCAGCAGATAACTTATCCAAAGTGAAAGTGCTCATTATGCCTCATGGCCCCTTTCAGTATGGGTACCCTGAAAGATTAAGATGATATTTTGTAATAATAAAGTTATCTTGTAAAACAAGGAAAAAAGAACTTCAGGGGCTGTTCTGTTCTTTTGCAGAACAAGTTACAACTTTGTCATTATTGGTGACGTAAATCCCAGCTGAACCTTGCATAACTTCAACCAGAGCAGGTCAAATCAGCCACACGAATGAAATCCCCTGCGTTGGTGCACAGGGCTTTTAATATATAACAATACATTGTTTTTTTGTATTTAAAATCAAAGTAACTACTAACATGAGTTCTCAGATAACTTCAATGGAGTAAAGACTACAACATTTCCATGAAACAGGACTCTGTACATCTTCCAGCAGCCTGCAGCTAAATCAGGTGCCTCTCGACTGAAGGACAGCAAACTTAAAAAGTAAAAGAAGGGACTGGAGCATGCTGATTTACTGCCTTTCATTGTGCAAACACACCGGAAGCCCATTTCTGCCACTGTGATGAAAAATAAAAGTCATTATAATGAGAAAATCTCAAAATAATGACTTAGTATCTCAAAATAATGATTTATTTGAGATACTAAATCAAAAATATTGAGAGAATTTTTCATTATTTTGAAATATTACGTCAAAATATTATTTTGACATAGGCCAACGAAGTCGTTATTTTTAGATAGTGTTTCATTGTAATGACTTACAGAATCTTTTTTTTTCATCACGGCAGAAATGTCTTCATCAGAATAAAAAACAAAACTAG